CCCAATCTTCCCACATACCATCATCCATGTCCCAGACCAGATACAAAACTTCATCTTGGCACCACTGCATCCAGAGTTATATCTCTCTGTTTGCAAAGGCCGTAGACTTGTCCGAATTGATCATCTGTCCATCGTTGGTGGTGCGATGGACCGGGGAGCTTGAACCGAGCGAATCATCAGAGCAATACCCGTCAGGAATCCGTGCGGCGACACGATCTCTCTTCGCCAGTGGAAGTAGGGCTGCCCCAGAATCCCCACACTGAATGTTCTCAAGAAGAGACTGTTCATCACTGCGAATCATCAAGCGATGGACAATACTATCGTATTCTGTCTTTGCCTGCCGGTGAGTTAGAAACGGCGCGTCTCCTGGAAGTCACGTCAGCCAGATAGTTCTCATACCACCTTACTGCCAGAGAGAGAGAGAGAGAGAGATGATAAAGAATCCAATAACATACTTGCCTCCTGCTTCGGCTTCATCTCAACAATAAAACTACCATCGCCTCGCATCTCCAGCATAGCGGCACGCCACGAGCTGGGGTTCGTCACCTTGTACTTGGTTTGCAAGTCCCCATATTCCCAGTAGATGATGTAGTCCTCCTCGGTGAAGCCCTCGACCGTGTCATACACCTTGGCGATGAACCTGTCGAATTGCGCGTGGTCGGCATCGTTCGGAGTATCGTCGGTAGCAGCACACAACTCGGCGAAGGTGAAGGCCACGCGGATTTGGAGTTCGGGGGCAGAGACGACGATCGCTGTGGGGAGGTTCTTCTTCTCGAGAAGTCTCACACGCTTCTGCTTATTCTTCGAGGTAAGGCTGGTTATCTCCTCGTCATCGTCATCGTCACTTGGAGCATCTCGAAGGCGACGCTTCCCCAACGCAAACCCGTTGTTACCCTGAGCGTCATTGTGGAACTTGGGCTTGGGCTTGGGCTTGAATTTGGAGCAGGCCTCCACGTTGTTCTGCATTTTCTTCTTTGTTTTTGTGCGGGTCATGGTCTTTGAAATTTTGGTAGTGCAGAGGAGCTATTGAGAGTTGAGGGATCTGATGTATTGGGAGCTTGAGTGGACGTTGTAGGCTGTGATGAGACGAACAGACCTGAAGGGTGCAACACAGAATAAGATATCCACAGATATGAAGTAGCTGAAGCAGTAGTAACACGCTGGGGTCAACGAACTATGAACAACTGGAAGAGAACAGAGAGGTAGGTGATGGTTGGTCGTCTGGGTGTTAGAGAAATCAGGCAGGTAAGTTGTGGAGCTATAACCCTGAGTCTGTGCTGTAAGTCAAATCGGTATAATTCACTCTGTGCAGACACATGACAATTGTGAATCGTCTGCTTGCCCCAGCCTTTACCCATATGACATACAACGACTTTCTGGCAGGGCTCCGGTGAACTTTGACATGCGATTAGTGTATAGATGTACTGACCACCACTACTCACCAATCTTTTACAAGACCAGATTGCCTTCCAGTTGGAGAAAATTAAGTATACATCATCTTAATCATTCACGGTGCGTACAAAGCATCTAGTCCAGTCGCTAAAGCCAAAAAAGGGAACATTGAATCAGGGACCCAGAAGACCGGAGGAACACCCTCACCATGATTTGTGGTGGCAAGCTTAACACGGGGGAAGAGGTCTTTCAAAAGTGAGTTTTGAATGTATCATCAAGCATCAATAGCAACATCCATGCAATTTGTGCCAATCCAAGCAAGAAAAATATACTTGCGAGCAGAATTAATCCAAGATATCAGTGGCACGCTGCCTCAAGAAAATTCGTAAAGTCATGAGAAGATGGTAAAAGCTGGTGGATATTACACCCAGAAGTCTGTATCTGTTGAAACTATGGGATAAATAGAGCTGCTGTAGCCATGAAACCAAAGTATCTAAGGTTATAAGTTAGTACGATGATTTCACCAATGAAACAACACGGAATGTATAAAAAACATACAATGAAGCGGATCGCCATCCATCCTGGGAGCCGACAAGCTGGTCTGCTCCCGTGGATTGAGTGGAGGCAACGGCAGCAGCGGCGCCGCCTACAACGGCAACCACCAGCAGACGACCGGAAAATTCAGCAATCATGCTGAAAGTGAGCAGAGGGAGGATGACGGCTGCAGAGGCGATGATAATTGCAGCGTACACGGATCGTGCGGAGGAAGCTGAGATCGTGCGAGGGGCAAGAGAAACCAGATCCTTAGTGTGGTCAAGAAAGCGCGTCTCTGCAGCAATAATGGGGTTACGTTCGTTCATCCAGGTGCGGTAGGTTTCGATATCCTTGTTTGAAGCAGGCGGAAGAGTCTGCAGAACGCGGCTGTATGCACTGAGCGCATTATCTGTGGAATACGATTAGTGTCTCCTGAGGTGGAAACGATGATGTTGTCTGTTGTGACTTACTATATTGTTCCGTTTTTTGGGCCAGTGCGCCCAGCAGCTCTTCCTTGCGGTAATGCAGGGAAGAGTAGACCTGTGCCTGGACGTCCATGCGTCGCGAAGCTGGGAGAACCGTGGTGCCCTGTTGTTCGGCCGTAGCCGCCCGATGCATTTGATCGTACTCGTCTAGGACACGAAGGTCTTCCTCCATCTGTGCAATCTCGTCCTGGAGTTGCAGAAGCACCCGATGGTTTAGATCTTCGAATCGGCGATAGAGCGGTGGGAGACGAGGCTCCTGGTTGTCGGTGGATGAGCTCAGACGCCAGGCGAGGAGGCCGTAGCCCGAGGGAGGTGGTGATGTTTTCGTGCTACGGCTGCGTTTGTGACTAGGTCGTTGAGAATCTTCCTCCGGGCTTCGTGGCGGTGATGGTGGTAGAGGCGGCCGGTGTTGGCTGGCTGAAAGATGCGAATAGAAGGCATCGGATCGGGGACTGAGCTCTAAGCTCCGTTTCTCAGGCGAGCTCGAGCCTGCAGATATGCCGGCGGGGATGTCGCTGGGCTTCTTATTCTGAGAAGATGTTTTGCTTTTCATCTTGTGTAATGATGGCACACCAGAAGCGATATCAAATGCAGTCGGCAATGGTTGGGAGTCAACTGAACCCTTGGACATAGTGGACGATGTTCGACTGCGTGTATCCGCCCCAAGTGCAGCCAATTTGCTCTGACGCCCTAACCCTACGTACGCCGTCTTCGATTGGGCGCTAGACGATGATGGGTATGACACTCGACGCGATCTGAAGTCGTCATCCTCGGAGGAATCCTCTTCTGACGTGGACTCATCTTCGTCTAGATATTCAAAAACATTCGGAACGGTCCGCTCAGGTTCGGCGGACTTGGCAGAAGTATGCCTCGGCGAGACGTTTGCCGGGCTCGGAGCAGTGTTCTTCGAGACCAAAGATGGATCTTGAGATGCTACTTGCGGCCGATCCCCAGACGCTCTAGAAGCCTTTGTGGAACGAGAAGTGGCCGAAAAGACAGAAGCCGTGGATGATTTACTGCTACCATCTTTCTTTGGCTTCTTCGAGCGACTGGACGAGCCATACAGTGGCATGTTGGAAGTAAATCAACGCGACCACAAGACCACTGATGCGAAACTGAGAGCAGTAGATGATAAGCCCTCTTATTCACTAACTATACCCTTTAGCAATGCAATGGAAGAGCCGGGGCCGAAAGTGAGACAACTAGCAGGCTCGAGAATGAGATAATTTGGTGGGAGGGGGCAACAATGGAGGCATATCAAGGGAGGGCCACAAGAACCAGTCAGGCGACGCGGCGGGCGGAGGGGAAACTCGAGAATGTAGCACAGAATGTGTAGAGGATCGATGGACTGCCGTACGCAGAGCACTGCTTCTAAGATCAAGTCTTGGCTATTTTCTGGATAAAGATATGCTCAGCAAGTTGCTGAAGATCGAAACTGGTTTTGTAGCTCTGAGGTTGACAGGATAGTAGAGTAAGAAGAAATGGATATCTAGATGGATGTAGATGCGCGGAATGGTCCGTCAGCGAGGCGTTCCAGACCCCAATAAATGCGTATGCGCCCCGTCGGCAGGAAGTGACAGGGAATAACTCGAACTGAGACAGATCTTAAACACGTCGACCCCAGTCGAGGGATCAAATCAGACCGCGTTGTAGGCGATTGTTGGATGTTTGCGACGATCGTGGAGCGACTCTCATTCGTCCACCCCAGCGGTTCCAGCTTATAGTTAGAGCTGAGGGGGGCGTCAAGACAAACAGGAGGAGTATAGGCGTGTGTAAAAGAGATGGCTTCGACAAGAAGAGAAAAAGATAACAAGCTGGTGGGACTGGAAAGAGAAGACGGGGTTATAGGAAGGAGAAGAGGGGGAGGGTGGAAGAAGAAAAGAGAAAAATAGCAAGTAGTTTTTTTGGTGTGTGGGGGAAGAAGTTCATCATCTGCATTGCATTTCATCTCAACTACGGAGTACAGTACGGAGTGCTTCTACTGCTTAGGTTGCTGCTGCGCTGGCTCATGGCGACTCGTTACTGAGTCTACTCTGATGGCCACGAACACACACCCCTCCTTCTTCCTTGACCCCTCTATTGTGCTATCTCCCCTCTCCAGCTATGTCAGTTCATCTCCCAAGATGATGTTGTTGATGAGGATGGTGATGAAGTGACGCTGCAAAGCTGGGACTGGGACTGTATTGGTGGGGTTTCAACTCGACTGCACTGCGAGGCCGACGCTGCATTCTGTAGCATGACATGCAGCAAGGCGTTGCTCCCACACGCACTTCTTTTCTCCAGTTTCCAGTGCATCGCGAATCGGAAGCTCTGGATTGAAAGACTTCATTCCAAGGAAAAATCATCTGCATTGTTAATTAAGCGGTGAGTTGTCCACCGCCGTCGGCCTTACTGTATTGTACCCGCTGTAACTTATTGTATAGTACGGTAGTTATCGTGTATCGTCGTTGCTCCGTCTATCTTCTTCCGACTAAAGGAACCACCAATTGGTGCCAATCTCTCCATTGAGACCCCATTACTAGCCACTGATCGACAAGTGAGTTATCTGCGTCAACGCAGCCATTATTTCCTACTCTCTGCCAGAGCGCCATGTTGCGACCATGGCTGCGCCAAGGGCCGCGAGCCACTCGTTCCTTCACTTGCCCGCAATGCCTTCATCTGCTCCGCCGCTCGCCGCAGCAACAGCTTCAACAATCCCTTCTCCCTTCCGCCACCCTCGCTTCTCCCCGACGATCCCTTCAGACTACGGCAGTCCCTGAGTCAACAGACCGGGTTCCCCTGCGCAAGCAGCTCAAACAGGACGCCAAATCGCTCAGGGCGCGCAAACGACAGACTCGCGAGGACGAGGAAGCATCCCGCCAAAAATGGGAGTTGACAGTGGGAATTGAGATCCACGCGCAGCTGAACACCGAGGCCAAACTTTTTTCCAGTAGGTGAACTCGTTATCTCAAGGACTTACAGTCGACTGAGCCTCGCCCTGAATAGAAGCGCCGACCTCATCGGCGGAACTCCCCAACTCCAATGTAGCCCTCTTCGATCTCGCCTTTCCCGGCAGTCAACCGGTTTGTTCTACTCCTTTACCACATGCTCACCACATCAAACCACTGACACCTGATAATTGATTAGGAATTCCAAATCGCAACGCTCCTCCCCGCCCTGCGCGCCGCCATTGCTCTCAATTGTGACATCCAGCCCGTCAGCAAGTTCGATCGAAAGCACTACTTCTATCAAGACCAGCCGGCCGGGTATCAAATCACGCAGTACTATGGTAAGACGGTCACGCAAGCTGCAGCTTCTGCCGTCAGCGGACTAATGCCCTGCAGAACCCTTGGCGAAGAATGGTTATGTGGATCTCTTCCGTTATGACGGAATCGCCCCGGAGGATGGAGACCACGTGCGCATCGGCATCAAGCAGATTCAGATGGAACAGGATACGGCCAAGTCTCAGGAGTACCCTCCCTCGATGCAGTTACTCGACTTCAACAGAGTCTCCCACCCCCTCATCGAGATCATTACAATGCCCCAGATTCACACGCCGGCCACCGCGGCGGCCTGTGTGCGAAAGATTCAGTCGATCCTACAATCCTGCAGTGCGGTTATAACTGGTATGGAATTGGGTGGTTTGCGGGCGGATGTCAATGTCTCCATCCGTCAAAGGGGCGACGTTGCCGGTAACCATCGGTATGGCGGGATCGGAGGTCTGGGACAGCGTACGGAGATCAAGAACCTTAGCAGCTTCAAGGCCGTCGAGGACGCCATTATCGCCGAGAAGAATCGCCAGATAGCTGTCTTGGAGAGCGGTGGTGTGGTGGAAGGTGAAACCCGTGGCTGGACCATCGGCAGCACTGAGACGCGCAGATTGCGTGGCAAGGAAGGAGAGGTTGACTACCGCTATATGCCGGATCCTGATCTCCCTCCGGTCTATATTGGGGAGGATTTGATCTCGGAGCTCAGACGGACACTGCCAACAGGCTCTGATGCGCTTCTCAGTCTATTGACCGGAGCGGAATATGGGCTGACCATTGAAGATGCCAAACCACTTGTAGAGCTGGACGACGGTGCTCGACTAGAATATTATCAGGATGTCGTGGACCTCCTGCGCCAACAGCACCCGGGAACGGACTCGAAGACGCAGCAGGCACTGGCGCGCCTGGCTAGCAATTGGGTGCTGCACGAACTGGGCGGCCTCCTGACCAAGGCGGAACTGGCTTGGGACTCACAGCCCGTCCCCGCCGATTCTCTGGCCTCTTTGCTTGACCATCTGCAACGAAAGCTCATCACTGGTCCCACGGCCAAGCAGGTGCTGGCTCTGGTGTTTGACGGGGATCAGCGCTCGATCCCGCAGCTGCTCGAGGAAGAGAATCTGTTGCTGCGGCCTTTGTCGCGGGAGGAATACATCGCATTGGCGGAGGCAGCTATTGCACTAAACCCATCGATGGTTGAGCAGATTCGACAGAAGAACCAACTGGGCAAACTGGGTTGGTTTGTAGGACAGATGATGCGCATGGGAGAGAAAGGGCGGGTGGAGGCGCCCAAGGCTGATACAATATTGCGGGAACTGATCCTGGAGGGAGCGAAATAGATGTATAGCAGTGCCGATGTACGAGTACAGTGCGTATGTACAGAGACAGAGTAGCTAGATCCTAGATCGGAGCTGAGTCCGCGGAGCTGAGCTGAGCCCGCTCATGCATGACGACGACGATAATGATGATACCCGTCGGATTTAAGCCCAAACATAAGTGATCTGTCCTTATCAGTAAGATAATAGCTGTAAGCCAGCCCGAGAATGACCGGAGTCCGAAAACGATTGCTAATAGAAAGGGGGGTGGAGATGGTTTTGAAAGGCCGAGGCGGGCATCTCTCCTCGACCTGTACTTAGGGGAAGTCCTGATCCCTAAAAGCAGGTCTTAGCGATCACAATGCCCCACGACCACCCTTTGGCCAGGTTTTATAAACTGCTCCAATACCCCCTGCCTTTGTGAAGTTCTTTGACTTCTTCTTCCTCATCATCTCACTGTTCTTCACCTCCTTGATATCTTTCTCAGTATCCCTCCGCTTCCTCTGCCTCTCAGTCTGCCTCTTGCTCTGCCCTGGTTGTTGTTGTTGCCCGTGGTCCACCCGTTCCTTGCCCGGCTCCAGTTGATTCCCCACCCGATTCTTGATTTGATCTTATCTCATCAGCGCGGGTCCCGCTCTTCTAGAACTTTTTTTCTTTCTTTTTCACGCCTCTCTCTCCTTCCCTCTTCCTTCTCCTACGACGCTTATCTCCCTCCTCATCTCTCACATACACAATGACTTCTCCCTCCACTATTCGCCAGCGCTTCCTCTCCAAGCCCAACGAGCTAGGTGTAGTGGCCGTTGGCTTCAATGGCGGTCAGGTACGTTTCCCCTCACTCTAGTCCCGCCGCCACCGCCGCCGATCTACGCGGAGTCTAGCGGGCGGCGCAAGCAACAGCAAGACTGACCGGGAACGCTGCGACGAAATTTAGTGCAAGATGGGCGTTGAGGCTGCTCCCATGGCCCTCGTCCAAGCCGGACTCCTCGATCAACTGCGCGACGACCTGGGCTACGAGCTGCACTATGACGACAAGGTCCACTACTACGAGGACAAGATGCCCACGGAGGACCCCGACCACCGCGGCATGAAGAAGCCCCGGGCGGTGAGCGCGGTGACCGAGGCGCTGAGCAACCAGGTCTACGAGCACGCCAAGGAGGGCAAGTTCGTGCTGACCCTGGGTGGTGACCACTCCATCGCCATCGGCACCATCTCCGGCACCGCCAAGGCCATCCGCGAGCGTCTGGGCCGCGAGATGGCGGTCATCTGGGTCGATGCCCACGCCGACATCAACGTGCCCGAGATGAGCCCCAGCGGCAACATCCACGGCATGCCCATGGCTTTCCTGACGCGCCTGGCCCGCGAGGAGCGTCCCGACATCTTCGGCTGGTTGAAGGATGAGCACATTGTCAACACCCGCAAGCTGGTATACATTGGTCTGCGGGACGTCGACCGCGGCGAGAAGCAGCTGCTGCGCGAGCACGGCATCAAGGCCTTCAGCATGCACGATGTGGATCGGTAAGTCTGCTCTTCTGAGTGGTTGGTTCGTTTTCGTCTGACATGAAATCCACCGCAGCTATGGTATCGGTCGCGTGGTGGAGATGGCGCTGGCGCACGTGGGTAACGACACTCCCATTCACCTGTCGTTCGACGTCGATGCTCTGGACCCCCAGTGGGCGCCCAGCACGGGCACCCCTGTGCGCGGTGGGTTGACTCTCCGCGAGGGCGACTTCATCGCCGAGTGTGTGCACGAGACCGGCAACCTGGTGGCGATGGACCTGGTGGAAGTCAACCCCAGTCTGGAGGAAGCGGGCGCCAGCGACACGATCCGCACGGGGTGCTCGCTGGTGCGCAGCGCTCTGGGTGATACCCTGTTGTAGAACGAAAGACTTATATCTGACATAGATTATAGTCTCTGTATACTATAGAGAAAAGGTTAGACCGACATGAAATGCAATGATAATGACTTTGATAAAACTATTGGTCGGTCTGTGTATGTGTTTTGTTGGAGATCGGAAATGTTTATAGATGGCCGGGAGTTTCTCCGCACTGGACCTGAAGGCTTAAGCTAACTTAAGCGCCAAATCCCCTGCCACCGAATTTCCAGCCACCCGAATTCCACATGCTTCGATCAAACCCGATCTGTCTGTCCTTCATTTCCTGCTTTTCACCTTTCTGCAACTCCGACGCCAAAGAATGAGCTAGTCTCTTGACACTTCTGCTGTCTTGAAACAGATTGTTTGTTTGAATGGTATTATTGCTACCGTGGACTGCTACTGCACCTGCAAATCCAAGCTACCGGCCCACTCCCGCCCAACGACGCAATAAGTACTCCGTATCAACAACAACATCATCATCATCATCACAACAGCCCAATTGACTCTCGCCCACTTTCCCGTCCATCATTCCACAGTAACTACTCGGTGACGCCTATCCAGACCGACGTTCCATGCACCGACAACCACGGAGTCTGGACCTTACCCCCATCGAATCGAATGCCCTGCAAGGGAAAGTGGGCGGTTTCTGCCTGACTGACTGAGGTGGCCCGCAGCCCTATTGCTGCCCTTGAAGTATACTCCACACACCGTCATCAGCATCATCATCATCATCATCTGAAGCTGGGGTGGAGAGCTGAGCAGCGGTCAGCGTGTGCGCAACTACTGGAGGAGCTAAATATATCGCAAGACTGTTTCATCATATAACCTACCAGACGATCAAACCTCGCAATCTGTGTATTGGTCGATTCGAATGCAACAAACGCAACCCAAATTCAACCCAGCCCTCCAACGACCAACATATGACAATATCAACCTCAGCATCAACTCATATATCAACACGATTCTCCACCAACAACACACCTCCCAGCCTAGCGTACCACTGCACTAAGAGTCTGAGCAACCATCCATCACATCCACTAAGTTACCAGAACCCACCACCACCACCACCAACAAAGCTAGAGAAACCGCCCCTCCAACATGGCAGGCGTCCGCATCTACCGACGCCGGCGCTACCACTGGCCCGAACTCCAGCTCAACATCTGGTTAATCATCGTCTTATCCGCCAACGCCATCTGTCTAGGGATCTTCGCCTGGTTCATGTCCGTCCAGAACGAGCTCCATCTGAATATCCCATGGTGAGTGTGCAGGCAGGCCAGGCCACACAGCCCCCGGCCCAAAACCCACAGCCCCCCCCCCTCCAAAAACAAACTAACAACAACAAAAAAAAAGGCTCTTCCCCTACATGACCGTCACCGCCGCCCTCGGCCTCTTCTTCATCATCCTAATCTACGTCCTCACGGCCCAACGCTTCCTCCTCCCGGGCATCATCCTCGTGGGCAGCTTCATCCTCTTCGCCCTGTGGCTGACCGGCTTGATCGAGACGAGCCTGCAGATGTACGGCGTCGTCGCCAACGTCGACAGCAACTGCCGGAATTTCATCCTGGTGAAAAACCACCCCACCGGCGATAATCTCCAGACCTTGGCGTGGTTGACTGAGAGTACGATCTGTATGTCGGCTCTGTCCCCCCCCCCCCCCTGCAAAAGCCAGTTTATTCGGATGTTTTTTTTTGTTCTTGGTGGTGGCGTTACGCAACCCAAAAAAGTTTCAATGAGCGACTAGTGGCTAATCTTGACTTGGTGTTAGGTAATTGCTGGAGAACGGCGTTTGCGTTCGAATTGATTAATACCATCTTCTATGCGTGGATGATGATCATGTCGTGGCAGGTGCATCGGGATATTTATCGATGATTGTTCCCTTCTTCTTTTATTGGTACCTTTCTTTTTGGGGATCCTACCTAGTACTCTACATAGTATAACTTGAAGTTGTGCGAGGAGGACGGGTGAGAGAATGCTGGTGATGTTTATGATTGGATGACTTGGATCTTGATGTTTCGCATTGATGTGATGGATGTGAGATGATTGCATGACTTGACTTATTAGCTGCTCTGATGTATGAACAATCTACCTTATGTGTATTCTTATTTAATGTTCTTCCCTTTCTTAAGTTTTTGTCTTTTTCTCTTTCTACTGGCTGATAGTAATACGTCCATCTGCGAAAGACACTCAGTCTACATGAATGCCGATACACTGTTCAATCCAAATACACATTCAAATTCGAAAAACCTAAACCCTATACCTGAGTCCTATGTCACACCCCCATAAAATTTGACCCCCTCGTAGACGGAATCGCGCACAAACGCCCTCGCTATGCCTTGCCAGCATGATCTCGAATCAAAAATGCTCCTATCAACGATGACAACAGCGTAGTATGACCGCTAGCCTATCCACACAGAACAAAGACAACGTCTAGAGCTGCTAACTAATGTCAACCGTTCTCTTCCGCGATCTTCTCCTCGGCCGTCGCGTCGTAATCGCCATCTTCAAACGCCGCCATCATCTCCCGTTCGAGCTCATCATCCTCTTCTTCCGGAGCCGGCATCGTGCCCGCTGGTTGGGATCCCGAAGGCGCATCGGCCTGCACCTCCGGTTCACTGCTGGGCGATTCCGAGTTTGCTGCACTAGACACTGCTTGGGAGAGTGCGGTGCCAGGCCGCTCATACACCCGCCGAATCCGCTGCGCGAGTCGCGAGCCATGGGGGGGTCCGGCATCTTGCGCCCTGTCTCCGTTATCATCTCCTCCCTCGTCCTCCTCATCTTCTGTATCCTCCGGACGCTTTCGCTTCTTGCTGGGCGCCGTTGTGGGAGCATCTTCCATGAAGGAGGCATCACTGTCACTCTCGCTCTCGTCGTCACTGCCCAGAAACTCTTTCAATTCCTCGTGGATGGCGGCTTGTTGATCGGCGTCATACCCAATAGGCGACATCTCGGTCAACCCAGACGATTGCAAGATATCGGCCGTCATTTCAGGCTCGTCCTCCTCCGTGCCAGCGACCCCCGTCCCTTCCTCAGATGACAGCCAAGAACTCTCCATTTCCTGGCCTGGCGAAATTGGCGGCTCGCGATCATCTGGGTGCACAGGCAGGAGATATGGCTTCTCGTCTAAACGCTTCCACTGTGTTAGGCAGTCACTCAACCAATGTGTCCTCACGATTTTGATGTTGGGGTACCGCGTTGCAGCTCGAACCTTAGCCGTGCGGTTCCGTCCGGCCACGAGATGGGTCACCCTTGAATTGATCTTCGTACTGATGGTCGCACCAAAACTCTTGGACCAAAGCGAGATGTCCGCGTTGTGTGTATCCGTGCCAAGAGGAAGTACTCCTGTGAAGGTCAAAACAACACCGCTGAGAACACGGCGTTTAATGGCCGGCATAATGTCCTTAACGTCGGGAACTAGCTTCAAGTCGACGTCCTTGTCCTTTGAGGGTGTCTTCTCGCCGCGCAAAGCTGCCACTCGTCCTCCCAGCGCTCGTGATCTCCGCCGGTCATACTCGTCGAAAAAGTTGCGGTGCACCTGCTCAAGACGAACCTCCAGATCAAACAGCTCCCGGTCGTTGTCCTCCAGAAGAAGATGTCGGTGTTTGTTGATCTCCGGTGAGTCGTCCATGCTACTTGATGAATCACTACTTTCAGCGGCATCTTCCTCTGCATCCAATTCCTTCTGCTTCTGTAACAACGGTCGATCTTCGACTTGATGCATGATCGTCTCATTTTGTGCATCGCTCTGTTCCTGCAGTAGGCGAGGGTCGTCTCCTCCGCCCATCGTCACTAGCTGCTCCAATGTTGACATCTCCGGCTGATCCCCTGCTCTGCCCGTAGCTCCATTAGCATTGTGCTCACGGGGCGATGCTTTTACTGTCTTGGCCGCAGACTTCTCGCCCGGCGTGCTTGGAGAGACCAGTTCCTGCTTTTTGGGCAGGAAGCTGGAGTTGATATCTCCAATGCCGACGAAGAAGTCATACGGCACGACCTTGATGAGATTGGGGCTCCAGCGCCAAACGTCCCCGCGGTCATCGATGATGACCACCATCTTAGTGTCCACAGGGAACAACCGATGTAAATTCTTGGCTGTGAGACTACCGCTCTCGTCTCGACTCAGAATGCGATCTCCAAACAGCTTACGATCGGGATCAATGATAGCAGCAATATGTTGCGCATAAGACCGAGTGCCCATGGTGTAGATATGCAGCTCAAACATCTCCGAGATGTTATGCAGGAAGGACTCCAGCCCGGGCCGCAACTTGACATAGTACCATACTCCACGCGCTCCCGGGTCATTCTCGACCAGCTGAAACACGCGGACATCGCTGACAGCCTTGTGATTTGGATTGTCTTTATCTTCCATCCATTCCCTCACCGTGGGGTCAACGGTTGCTTGGATGATCGTCTGGTCCAAATCGACCACAAGGGACAGCTTCCGATTTAACAACAAGCTGCGCTTTGCATCCTCTTCCACCCGCGTCGCCTCTCTCTCGCTCACGGTCAAACCTGTGTTTTCGTGGGTCACCGGGATCGTCGCACGCATGACATCTTGAAAATCCGAGTTGTAGGTAGATCTATCACTCGAACATTAGCAATCCGTTGACAGCCTAACGTTTACGCGCGCTTAGGATCCATACGCAGTCATATCCTTCCCACACTCTGCGCAAAGTCCCCCGAACTGAACCTCGTGAGCACATGGTTCATCGACCACCATGAAATCGACCCTGGAACATAGCAGATGAAGTCAGTCTCAGCTCCCGAGATGTGAAAGCAATCGGACCTCGAAACGTGGGTTTCCAGTTCAATATGGTGACATACGGCCCATTGATGACATCCCCTTTTGCAATCCTCCACTGAACCAATTCGCCATCGACGGGTGACTCAAACTTGGTCGGAAATTTGCGCTTCACCTCGACTTTATTTCCCAGCCCGTCACCCTCGGTGACGGTGGTCTGGTAGACATACCAGAACAGCGCATCCTCCCTTTCCACCGCATCGCCGGGCTGTTTGAGCAACGACGTTACGGTGATCGGGTAGTGAAGGCTGGATGGTAACCGAACAAGCATTTATATTGGAGCCCACACCGATCCTTGGTCCGGTAGCGAAATCAACCAACCCTTTTTGCCCTCCTTTTCATGAATTGTGAGAGTCGAGGAAGGAAGGGTGGTGTGTAAAACAAATGATGAAGGAAATCGCGATGGAAGAAAGATCGAGCCAAGGAACTAGGAAGCCATGCCCGAAGCAACAAAAACCCAGACAACGCCTTCGGTAACCGCTGCAGCCGCTGTAGAAAGATGGAGGCAGGAGGGGAGGATCGGAGTAAACTGGGGTTCTGTTGTGATCCAGAGACGCGACGGGGAGACGATTGCTCGGATCCGTACTATATGTACTATTCAGGTAGGTGGGTAAGCAGGTAGAAGGTCGAACCCGAAAGCACAAAGAAAGGGCTTCGAAGCTGTGATGGTCAAAAGATGGGGGGTTGAATGAAAGACAACCGCGGTCAGTTCTATGGATCAGCTGGTCGCAAATGGTTCGCCACGCGAATCGAACGCGACGAAACACAAACCACGGTTGGAAAAGGCTAGCAAGACGAGTGTCAAAAGGGTAATCTATGACCAGAATACGAGGATTGATGATGATGAAAGAGGGTGGTAATTGGGGATGCGATCAGGAACAAGAAAGCTGCATGAGGGGGGGGAGGTGGAAGGGGAAAGTAGGAGGTAAGGTCACGAGAGTGGGAAGGAAGTACTGAGTAGGTAGGCTAAGTCTGGTCAGTGGTGAAGGAAGTGAGTGGAAGTGGTTGGTGGGTGAGTTGGGTGGGGGAGATGGAGCAAGAAGAACGCCCCCAAAAAATAGCTGGAGGAAGAGGAGCAGTAGCAAGTTTTCCAGCAAGCAGCAGCAGCAGCAGCAAAGAGCTGGAAGGGAAGAGAGAGTGGTTGACACTGGTTGTGCTTGTGCCAAGCGTCGGTCCATCAGCCGCTTGGCTGACCTTCGAACTTGGAATTGGCCTGTGCGGGGGGGGTTAGGGGGGGCGAGACTCTCGGGTTTCCGTCAAAACCACCGGCTCCCGGCCCAGACCTCGTCATCATCCAGTTGCACAAAGAAAACAAAGACCAACGAACTCTCCCGTAAGATGCTCTATCTCAACACGATCTGATTGTGCTTTCATTGTACTGGTATAAATTCATACACGATGATTACGAAACTAGTCACGGCAGTACACATCGATCTGTGGGGAAGAGCCTGGACTAAAGCAACAACTGAGTTCGAATTTGACCCATCTCTTGAACCATAACATAATAAGAATGATTACTGCGCGCTAGGGGATCGAGCTAATATATGCGATATCATCCCCTCCTTCTTGCGTACATACCATGAGAATACGCTTCATGAACCCATCGTTTACTTGGCCTTAGCGAGACCAACGGCACTGTTGCCGAGGTCATAGACGCTGTACCACTTGCGCAGGAAGGAGTCACCCAGAATGGCCAGAGGACCAACAGGCTCGGGGAAGTCCATGCCCATGAAGGCACTGATGCAAGAGCCCTGGGTCTCAAGGGTGTAGTCGAAAGCACTGATGGTGAAGTTGTGGCCGCTCAAGGCAAAGGTCACATCGGGCAGAGAGGAGCGCTTGGCACAGTCAATAGTGTACTGGCCAGTCCAGCCCTTCTTGGCACCAATCTGGGCGTTGCTGTGGAACTATTAGCATCATATCCGTGGACAATTCACCCGATGAACTTACATCATCTCAGCAAGGCTGGAGGGGAGAGCAATGAGGGAAGTACCGGTGTCAAGGATGACACCAGTGTTCTCCAGCTCGGCAACGTCATCACCAAGGGCAATGGAGTCGAGGTCGACCTCCCAGTAGGCCTTGCGGCGAAGAGGGATCTTGATCAGCTCACCAGTGTAGTGGCTCTTGTCAACACCACCGAAGGTGGCCTCGGAGCTATCGCCCTCCTTGTTGGCATCGCCAAGGTAGAAAGCAAAGACGGGCTCGTCCAGAAGTCCCTGCTTCAGCATGTTGTAGAAGGGTGGGACGATCTTGTTGACGGAAATGGTATCATAACCCAATCCGAGAATGCCGTCGAACCGGCCGAAAGCGAAGGCCAGGCCAGGCTCCTGAGTTGCCTCGGCAAAGTCCTGTTCCTTGATGGTCAGGTCACCGATGGTGAGAGTGTCCTGAGAAACAAAGCCGCTGAGACTGCCAGAGCCGTAGCGGATGGCGAACTCGCTTCCATTCTTCTTGTACGTGCTTGACGAAGACGAGTCGTACTTGTTGTGAAGGTAGCAGGCAATGGAGCCACACTCCGAAGAAGGCACCCAGAGGTTGGAGCTACCAGTGTCCAAGACAACCTTGAACGTCTGGGGAGGGGTACCAAGCTCGATCTCGGAGAAGTCTGTTACGGAAGACGATAAGCAGCCACTCACCCTGGAGACCAATGGAATAGGGACTTACACTGGGCGTTCATGAAGTTATCGACAAGAACATCGTGACGGCTCAGGTCGTTGATCGGGGTTTCCTGGAGCAGTTCATTGTGGATGTTGGGGCGAATGCCCATGTACTTCTGACCCAGCGCGCGAACATGGGCATCGATGTTATGAGTGGACTTCATTCAATAGATCAGCGATTCCGAGTTGGAAGAAGAGCTGAGCTGAATACAAGGCCGACAGTTGCCTTGATGGTGTACTTACCAGCTGCTCATCAAGGGAGACCTTGTTGAGCTTGAGTTTGTGAACCTCGGCGGAGGTGTAGCCCAACAGCATAGATGCTGTGAGCAAAGAGACGGACTTCATGATGAACGGCGACCCCGGAAGGAACGACTCAAAGAGAGACAATGACGGAAGGTGGAAAAGAACGGGAGTGAGGAGAATGAATAAAGATGTCGATGATGGATGAACCAAGTTCGAGGGAGATGGGAAGAGGAAAAGGGACCCGAGGTGGAAGACGGAGAGAGAGAGGCGAGGAAGGCAAGCTGAGGAGGAGGTCACGGTCACGGTCAGGTCCGGGGGGGGGGGGGGGGGGGGGGGGGGGGGGGGGGGGGGGAGGGGGGGGGGCGCGGGGGGGGGGGGGGGGGGGGGGGGGGGGGGGGAATGGGAGGAAGGGCGATGATGCGAGTGACTGGTTGGTTGCGGAGCGACCTCACGCCGCCTCAGGCTGTCCTGCTGCGGGCCAGCCAATGGTTGGCTGCCCCGGCTGCGTCATTGGCAAGGGGATCTTCAATCACGGGGTTTATCTCTCATGAATTAAGGTAATTAGCGCCAGCAGAGCTGCGGTGCCTGAATTCAAGTTCGATTGTTTTATCTTCAGGAATTCCATCAATACTTCTGACTAAATATCTGGGTTCAAGATACGCAGTCAACTTTATAGGTACCCATTGATCTCATTGTCAAACCACCATTACTAGCGACAGTGGTTGGGGGAGGAGGACGATTGTTCTTCCCCAACGCCGTTTACCGCTTCTTATCAGCCTATCTGGCGCTAGAGTGATGATGTAAGACCGCCTTGGCCTGCTGCCTGTTGTACCCGTATCCGAGTATCGTAAGTCCGCGCCCGGGACCTTGCCTGTCCGGGTGAGCAGCTGACAGGTACGCTGCCGTGGAGCTCCGGTAGCTCCCCTTCTAAGTGCTGTGCTCTGCTGTACACTGATAATCATATGCTGTGTCGAATCGCTGTAATAATAATGTTCATATATGCTCAAACAACCTACGTCAACAAATCCCTAGATACGTCAATCATTGTCTTGATGTGTTATGCCTAACAGTATTACAGCTAAGACCCAGCCTAATTGTTGTTGCAAACACATGGCCAACTCAAACCCAGCGCTTCTTGTATACCTGATTTACCGGTAGAATTCGAGTCTAGCGTTGGTTAGTCATTAGCCAAACAGAAATACAGCAAGGAAAAAAAAAACGCACCTATCGGATTCCTGTCCAGTCTTCACTTGAGCAGCATAGGCATCCTCCAAATCGGACTGGATGATGTTGTAGCGATTCTTACGAACGGCGCGGAGACCCGCCTCTTGCATGATAGCCGCGATAACCGCACCCGAAAGCGGCTCGTTGCGCACAATCAGCGAGTCAAGGTCGACCTCAGGGGAGAGGGACATCTTGGACGCTATTGTGGTGAAGATCAACCGGCGCTCACGTCGGTCGCGCAAGGACGGAAACTCAATCTTACGGTCCAGACGACCCGGACGCAACAAGGCAGGATCCAGAGTGTCCGCTCGGTTGGTAGCCATGATGACCTTAACGTTGCTCGTTTGCTCGAAGCCGTCCATCTGGTTCAGGAGTTCCAGAAGGATACGCTGAACTTCACGGTCGGCACCCGTCTGGGCGTCGAAACGCTTGGTGGCGATGGCATCGATTTCATCGATGAAGATGATAGCTGGGGAGTTCTCCCGGGCCATTCTGAAAACGTCACGGACCATGCGAGGTCCTTCACCGAGGTACTTCTGCACGAATTCGGAACCGTTCACACGGATAAAGCTGGCGGTTGTGCTGTTCGCCACTGCCTTGACAAGCATGGTCTTACCGGTACCAGGAGGGCCGTACAGAAGGACACCACGAGGGGGATCAATACCTGGTTCCGTCAGAGAGATATTCCCAAGACTGTGGCTGCACCAGAAGAATGGGGTCTAATCAAAAGGGGAGGACGAACCGATCTGCTTGTAAAGGTCAAAGTGCGTCAGAGGCAGTTCGACGGCCTCCCTGATCTCCTGCTTCTGCATATCGAGACCACCAACATCCGCATATGTAACATCTGGCTTCTCATTCTCGCCCAGCATAGCAATCGAGGAGTCTGCCTCCGGGGGGAGGATATCAACAAGGGCGTTGGAGTGACGGTGGAGGGCGACCGAGGATGAAGGCTTGAGCTTCTCGCGGTCGAGGGTAGACAGGATGCGGACGACATAATTCGAGCCGGTCGATGACTGCACAATACCGGTGCTGTTTGAATAAGAGTCAGTGCTGTTATTCTTAGATTGCTGGCGCATCATACTTCTGGTCGATTGCTTCCATAAATTGGCCGATGACCAAGGGAACACTCTGTATCCGCTTAATCTCCTCCTGTGCACGAACAAGCTCTCGCTTCAGGCTCCTGTAAGGTTATTCATCGTTAGTTATGTATCCGGTATACGATAAAAGGATGCTTTACCTTTGTTCATCCTTGATGTATTCCTCCTGGAGCTGAATGTACCTGGGCAAGGGTCAATACGTGCTGAGGCGACATCGACGCGGTCGCGGAACGTACTCCAAGTGTCTCTGTAAGCGCTTCAAGGTTGCATACTCATCGCCACCGTCGTTTCCGGTGCCCTCCAGCGAGTCTATGTTGGGGATGGTGTCCAATGGAGCTGCCTTGGTGTGAGGCGTGACGTTGTTCGCCGGAGTCTCCACGGCGACGTCTCCCATGGCGAATGTCTAAAACGGAACCAGAAAGTTGAAGTCTGAAAATGAAGGTGCCGTGTCTCTTGGGACGATATGGTCACAACGAAGCAAAAGTCGTTAGATGCGGGCTGTAGGATAACTTGATTGTTTAGAGAAGCTATTGCGTCGATGACAGTTAGCCGGGCTCACGAAGCTCAGATCCTGGTCATGTGATCAGTCAGCTAGAAGCATCTGGTGGCAACCTCAGGCAGACCTTTCGCGGTCAGCCCGGTTCAGCAACCATCTACAAGTGCCAAGCACAATACTCTCTGTGGGTACCGTACAGTCTTTTGTCTTGAATCAACACCCAAATTGGAATATCTGATTGTTCAAAGCAAAAGCACAAATTACTCACACCCTAAAGTCCATAGCTAATACCGGATCTGTCATGTTTTGAGTCCGCTGAATGGTACGGTCGTTGCGTATCAGAATATATACAACTCACTCTGTCCTTACCAATCGATGCTGTCCATCTTTTTATGGCCGGAGAATTTGATCGTCCAAAAGAACAAGCGTCCAGGTCTCGTCGGCTTGGCTAACATCAGCCATGTAGTCACGAGTTACCTATTTTTACATCTTCCGGAGATCTTTCCAAGGCAGCAGAAATCGTCATCGGTCCACTAGCATCGAGGATCCCGCATACTGAGACATAGTAGCAAAAGTCACTATATACTAAGCTCTTATGCTTCTACCATATGTTATCGTCACAGCATCTGGCTAACCTCATTATTCAAAATAGACGCGAGCATACAGACTTGGGCCATCGGGAAAGACTCAGCCTATCTAGCAAGGAATATGTTCTGTAAACAGCAACATCAAACACAGAATCCTATATCCTACCACAGAGATACGAAGGTATCCACGTACCCTCAGGCCTTCGGCAAGTCCCAGGGCTCTCCTGAATCACTTCACTCATCGAGAGCAGGGGCTATTTATCAATCGTCTAGCATGCTTGCATCATGAATGATTTCAGTCCGTGCCCATTTCAGCCGCGTCGAACTCACATCGTGCCCGATACGAGATATACTCAGATCGACCAAGTCGCAGCAGAAAAAATATGGGCAATCATTGTATCATTCTTGCAGAAAACTGACAAGCGTTTCTGGAACTGTTTCTGAGTGTCAAATCTCGTATATTGTTGAAACCTCGAACCAATATATAACAGGCTGGCATGAACCTACCAAGTACATCAACCAACGATTCCTGTATAAGCTTGGGCTCGTGTATACACAGCCATAGGTACTCCGCGAAGCAATTTCAATGAACCTGCTGAACTCAAGGAAGAAGCTGCTGATCGAGGGACTTCAGCGGAACGAACCTGCCAGATACATCTAGACTACTGGCCCTGTTCGTTTAGTACAGGTGAAGCTAATCCAAATTCGAGCCAAGCACGGTGACCTTAATCTACCATGATCATGGTGTGGATGTCCGGTTGATCCACCGCAACTGTTCGAATAGTCATAAATGGTTACTTTGACTCTACGCCGTGTTGAGCACTTCTTACTACCTGCTTGACCGAACTTCCCATCAGTTCACTTTGGACAGTATTGGCAAGAACTTCCAAGCTGGGGCCAGCCCAGCTGTATGAATTGTATTTCTGGAATTGAGAGACCCTGACATGGCCCATGCATAGTACCGAGGGATCTTTGTTTAGCTTGGGTCTGCTGTAGTAAATTCAGATTGGTATGCTATAAAACCTCGCTCATTTATGAGTACCATCTTGACTTCAACTGAGCATCATGTCAGTTTATTAGTCTGTAAGTCAGACGACTACAGTAATACTCATCCCACCAATGTTTTAAGGTCTGCATATCAAGCAGATGTGATCAGCATGATTACATACTTAGCGAGACGTCCCACGGGGTGCATATGTCCGGTCCCTGCAATGCAAGCTCCATATGCATCGTGGCGATCGACCGAGTTTGATAATCCTGCTGGTGGCATCTTTGAATCACCCTTCTCACTAGCGTTTCTAGAACATTAATGTCATGGTTCCTTGTCGGCTTGCGGTTCGTATTCGACCAAGGCTGTTTCCGGATCCGGCCGCTGATCCCACGACAGAGCCACCTGAAAATTGCCACATCCTGAGGGGCTTATATGCGTGCGATCCTAGTTTCTATAGCAAGTCGAATAGCCCAAAGCTGCAGTGGACCAGACACCAAGTTGATGCAGATGCAAACTGCATGTACGGCTGGATAAGTGGAAATTGCGCAGTGCCTTATTCCGTGATTGAAAGTGGGTGCATGAGAGGTCCTTAGTCATCACTCCACAGCCCCACCAGTACCTTGATCGGGTAAATCACCCAGCCTACTTGGGCGATAACATCAGTCCCTTGTGAAACAAGAAGACGGGAACCCACATAAGGAACACCACCATCAACAGACTGTGTGATCATTCTTAGAACCTCGTATGTGGTTCTGTGGCTTATACGGGTAATGTCATCGCTTTAAACTCCCGGTGTCGCGTGGACAGCAGCGAAAGAACTGTCGTACGGTGAACGCCCATGAGAGGACGGCAGAATGCCACGAGCTGGTATGAGTGCAGGCACCCAGCTGCGATTTTCTCTTGAGGTATCTACCACTGTTGCTCACATACTGCTGCAGGTCCGGCATGCCTGACGTGCCGGGAAAAATGCCGCAAGTGCGATCGTGGTCGACCAAGCTGTGAACGCTGTATCTCCAAAGGTTTGGTATGCGGAGGATATCCAGAGCAGTTCAGATTTTGTGGTATCGCTAGTCGAGGAAAGTGGAAAGGGGCACGTATACCTGTCAGCAACAGAGCTTTGACCAGAGAACAGTCTTCCGCAACAGAAGGGCTATCGGACGGTGTCACAGGATCGACTTCGGTGGCTATGGCTGGAGACAGCTCGAGATCCCCCACTAAAGAATCATCTATCTCCGATGATTCCAACCAGCCGCTGGCAGAGCTTTCAGACGACGTTAGCACAGTCCTCGTATTACCTCTCACTGAGAGGCTATTGACGCATTGTAAGACCATCCCTACTGGGAGCCGATGTTTTCGGGAAATGGAAACATTAACAGTGTCTCTTAGACGATAAAGTCATCTGCCCTCATCAGATTGCCGAGGTTGGGGACGATGACAAAAACCCATATAGAGCATTTATCCTTCCTTTAGCACGGAAACAGATCGGCTTGTTATATGCCGTTCTAGGATTATCTGCCTCCCATCTTGGCAGGCTCATAGGGGACGAAGCAATGCACGAAGCTACCGCCGTGGAGTATCGACTGAAAGCAATACGCGCGTTGAGTGGGGAGATTCGAAAGAGTCAGCGGACGTCGCTGCGAGAAGAGGAACAGGACACAGTCCTCGCTATAATCCAACTTTTGCTACTCCACGATGTAAGCTCAACCAGTCGGAAGACCCAACATGGCTGTTGCTTCAAACACTGGGCTGATATACATGCAGATAAGCGAATCAGGGGTATCTTCTCATGGAATCCATATCACAGGAGCCATGTCCGTATATAAACAATTGATTGCCGACGGGTTGAATGGCCGTCGACAGCGAGCGGTCTTCTTTCTAGGGAATTTGGCTTGGTTTGTCACCCGTGCCGCGAGCGTCCGTGCCAATCCTACTGACGACTAACAATAGGCTTGACATCGTCCGAGCATTTGCTGGTGCCGAACGGATGTGCTTTTCCCAGGACGTTCGAGACCTGGTCGCCTATGCATGCGATGACATGTTCGAGCAGGTCAATGGAGTCCCGCGTGAAATCTTTCTAATCATCGGCGATGCATTGGAAAAGTCAAAAGAGCACATGCTGGGCTGGCTATCATGGGATGAGTATCAACTTGCCTTGCACCTGGCCAAGCAGAAGCTTTATTCGTGGGACCCTCACTGCAGGACTTATCCCACATCGGACCCCTTGTGGATGGCTATAGCAGAAGCCCACAAGTTTGCGTGTGTGTTGCGTATACTACGCTTGATGGATCCGCATAGACCAGCTCGCGACTCGGAGATACAGGAATGTGTAATAAAGATCCTCGACGCGACAGCGATGATCTCGTCCGATTGCTCAGTTATAGAGCTTGTCGTGTTACCTCTGTTCATGGCCGGAGCGGACTGTCTGTCACCTCATTCGCGGTATTATATTCTGGGACGACTGCGCGAAATTGAGAGAAGGTCTGAGTTTCGGAACCCAGTACCGAACGACTTGTTGAAAAAGGTCTGGGATGCGCGGGCGGCTCAAAGTCCCGATGATGATACGAACATATCATGGACGACCTTTGTAAGCTACCTATCCCTGGCCCCACTTCATTCCAAGCTCACCGACGCATATAGACACAGGCTCCCGGGCTGGTGCGGCCACATGACTATCTTATACTCTGATCGACTGGGTAAATCGTACTGCGTAGACAAGCTCGATCAATAGCAATATGGCACCCACAGGTTGTGTACTGTACAGATCTTGCTTGTGGAAGTGGTCATACTGGAACGTTCTTCAGACATCACTCACTGAAACAGTTAGAGCGTGCTGCAAATATGGTTTGATTGATGAGAAAATATCTAGCGCGATTGTGATCATCATAGAGAGATACCGATGTGGATATAGTCTGTCTCACTCCGCCCCAAGTTCTTTTGGCTGCTGGTCAGGATCCATACTTGTTTCTATCTTGCGTATGATTCGAGCAGGATTTCCTGCAACGAAATGAAACGGTGGTACACTCTAAACAAAGAGCCATCAGGAGTCAGTGGTTAGTCTTGTACCCGGAGTCGTGCGGATCCACGTGCCTTTGTTACAACAGCTCCAGCTCCCACGGTGCATCCACGCCCGATCGTGACCCCAGCGAGGATTATGACACTACCTCCGATCCATACATCATCTTCGATGTGCACTTCCTTGCCAGCTTCAGGGCCTTCAAGTCCATTCCTCACGGCGGGGTCCATGGGATGGATGGCGCCGTAGATAGAGACATTAGGACCAAAAAGCACCCTTTCGCCGACTGTAACGAGGCAGGTGTCAAGCACGAGAAGGTTAAAGTTGAGGAATGTGCCTTTTCCCACCTTGAAGTTCAATCCGTGATCGACAGAGATCGGAGGATCCACAAATGGATCCGTCTCGTTGAAAAGCTTCTCGTCTTCCTGGGCATCGGAGAGGGCTGGGGGGAGAGGACGAGTGTCACCAACAATACTTTATGGTAGCAGATCAGCTTGATGATTCGTAGGAATAAACATTGGAACGAATGAGCTTGGTGCTTCTCACTCTCTCCATAGTTCCACCCTACGACGTCGAGATACCTGACCTGCTTGATTGAACTTGTCGCATGCTGCTTTGCATCGCTGGCGGTTGGCTTGCAGGTCTGCGTCCCAGGCCCAGTAGAGCTCACCGTTGAGCATCTTCTGCCATTCTTTAGATGCCGCCATCTTGA